GATAGCATTTTTCAAGTACCTAAAAGGGGGTTACAAGGAGGTGGGGGAAAAATGTTCTCCTTGACCTCTGAAGTTAGGATAAGAAGCAATGGGTTTAAATTGCAGTGGAGGAGGTTTAGGTTGGACATCAGGGAAAGCTTCGTAGAATGTCCAACACTGGAGATATTTAAGAGCAGGTTAGACAGACATCTATCAAGGATGATCAAGATGCTGCTTGGTCCTACAGTGAGAGCAGTGGATTGGACTTTATGACCTCTCAAGGTTCCTTCCAGTTCTATGAATCCAATTCCCCCCCCCCCCTTTTTGGTCATGGTCCTTAAAATTACAACCCTGTGACATTTCAGAATCAAATCGTTGAAATGAAAATTTACAATTTTTAAAATCCTATCACCATGAAATTCACCAAAATGAACCAGAATTTCATGACCCTAACTATGGCAATGTTGGTGCAGCAGAACTTGAAGATATAGCCAATGAAAGTCTAATGGGGCTGTGTTTCATGTCCTAACTGTGTTTCTTCTGAGGTGGTATCTGGCCTTAATGTTCTGCTTGTGCCACTTATTAATTCATGCAGCTTATCTTAAAATTGCCTGGGGCTATCTGAACATATGCTACTCTTTCATTCTTGCTACATGAGTGCCCTTAAAGGGGATATATATTTATTTCTGTGTATTAAATACATATATGCAATACATTTTTTTAAAATATATGCACTATCTGGAGCTAGCATTCCACATTTTACTATGACTACATCTTTCTGTGTGCCATGCATGACCAGCTAATGCTAAGAAAGCATCTCTGCATTCAAATCAATATACAAATGCAATGGATATAGTGCAGCTTGCACCATTTTCCCATCTACTTAATTTTTCTTCTTTTTTGGTCTAGCATGTACGCGTGTGCATATATTAGAATAAATCCTTAATATAAATAAGTATCTCAGCTTTAACTTCAGTGAACCATCTCAAGAAAGCATCCTAATCTACACACAGGACAGGATTTTCATACACTAAGGCTGTGTCTAGACTGGCATGATTTTGCACAAATACTTTTAACAGAAAAGTTTTTCCCTTAAAAGTATTTGCGCAAGAGAGCGTCTATACTGGCATGTGCCTCTGCGCAAAAGATTTGCTTTTGCACAAAAGCATCCGTGCCAGTGTAGATGCTCTCTTGCGCAAGAAAGCTCTGATGGCCATTTTAGCCATCGGGCTTTCTTGGGCAAGAAATTAATGTGGCTGTCTACACTGGCCCTCCTGGGCAAGAATACTTGCGCAAGAGGGCTTATCCCTGAGCGGGAGCATCAGAGTATTTGCGCAAGAACCACTGATTTTGTACATTATAAAGTCAGTGTTCTTGCACAAATACTCACGGCCAGTGTAGACAGGTGACAAGATTTTGCGCACAAAATCATGCCAGTCTAGACGTAGCCCAAGGCTTCTTTATGCCACTTGGTCAGTGTAAATGGGCCCTAAAATGAAAATAAATTATAGTCCCATCTATTTCAATGTAGCAATGAGACATTAGTGCAAATGAGAATACAGCCCACAGAGACGGCTTTAGGTCTAAGGAGTCTAAATAGCTCTGGGCTCTTAGGTTGTTCATCAAGAGCAGGGGTGGACAATAATTTTCGCAGGGGGGCCTCTTCATGAATTTTGGTAGGTAATCACAGGCTGGGAAGGGGCAGGGCTGGGAACTAGCTTCCTCCCAAAGTTGTCTGGGGCCAGAGGCTTTGTCTTAAAAACACAGCAAAGGGCATGTTTGGTTGGGGTTGCTGCGGTTATTTAAAGGGCTTGTGGCTCTGGACCCTACAGGGATACTGTCGTGACCAGGAGCTGGAAGCCATTTAAGTAGGATCTGGCTGCCTGAGACATTGCCTGGAAGTTCGGTGCCACAGACAGTAGGCTATAAATAGAAAACAGCCAGATACAATCCAGGGCTAGATCAAAATGTTAGGCATGCTGTGGGCTGCATCTTGCCCAGCCCTGCCAAGAGTACCTGACTACCTGATCAGTTCTCCACTTCAAACCAAACCATTTACTATGTCACAGAAAACTGCTAGTTAGTGAAAGTGCTAATTCCAAAATTATATTTATGGGATCAAAGAAGATAAAGAGCACGTGCTCTATAATTGCACACAGACACGGCACATTGCCTGTGTTCACAAAGAACATGGAACTGTACTAGATACAAATCTGGCAGAGGGGATGATCCTGTGGGTAGGATGCCAGTCTGGGATCCCAGAAAGCTGAGTTTAATTTTCTGCTCTATCAGAGTGCATCTACACTATGCAAATTGCATAGCTTATTTCTAGGTAACTTTGTAATCGCTTATTTCAAAATTTGGCACTTTCTACACCAAATTTTGAAATAAAGTGCTATTCCAACAAATCCTTTTACCCTTGTGGAATGAGCATTACAGAGATAATGGAATAGCGATCCCGTTATTTCAAAATATATTTCAAAATAACGAGTATGTTTAAAGACATGGTATTGATGTTTCGGGATACTTCCAGTATCCTGAAATAGCCCCGCTGTCTAGACTTTATTTGTGACCACAGGCAAATCATTCTGTCTCTATATGCCTCAGCATCCCATCATTAAATTGGGAATAATTCATACTTCCCAGGTATGAGAGCTGCCCCCAGTGAGCAGTGCCACCAAGAGAGTGGCCAGAGGTCATCTTGCCTGCCAGCACACCAAGTAAGCAGGCCCCTGCCTCAAACCCTTCCCCCACCAGCCCTTGGCCATAACACCAGATGAGGGGATGAGAGAAAATGCCTCTGAGGAATAAGTGGAGGGGGGGGAGACAAAAAGGCCCCTGGTGGCCAGGAAGGGATTGGGAAAGGGGCAGACAAATCCTCTGGTGGCTGGGGAGGCTTGGGGGGTAGAAAAAGGACCCAAGTGGCTGGGAGGGGGACCTAACCTGACTCCTGCACTCCCCCCACATGACCATCTCCTTGCACTGAAGCTCCTGGGCAATACTGGGTAAGCCTTCTAGTTACACTACAAATTATTCAGATGGCAACAGAATTAATACAGATTCACACTAATGCAAATGAGTCTATCTAGGGTCTTATTACCTGCAAAAATTTCATTTTGATAAATTAAATTATTTTTTAATTAGTGGGATGCCAGCATACAATAAAGACCCAGATTTTAATTTTAAACTAGATTTAAAATTATCAACTTGATTCTTCCCCTCTCCCTCCCCAAATTTAGTAAACTAATTTATGTAATATTTCAGCTCAGAGTGTCTGATGTATTTATCTTTAACTGCTAGTGATTTATAATGTAAACACTGAAGCATCTTTAACTTTGACAACATAGATAGCCCTGAAGTAATTAATCCTTTCATGAATATACTGAAATAGCCTTTTGTCTTTGCAGGCTCTTTATATAATGACATGGGCATGCATGGATAGTGAGAAATCATTCCTACACAAGTCTTGTCTCAGATTGGGTCTTTGGGGCCAGTTTTGTTTTATTTTGTCTTTGGAGATGTAGCCATGTGTGACGTAGTGTGGGTACCTTGCTGGTTGCTAGGCTTGGGTTGTGAGTGACCTCCACTGGCTGCTGTCTGCAGCACGGCCCAGCAGGGCAGGGGATGAGTCATTATGCAATGGAGCTTCAAACCTGTCTGGTGAGTTATCTCGGAGGGAGCCGAACAATGGGAAGAAGGGGAGTGGAGCCCTGGCTGGGAGCAGGCCTGGAAGTGAGTAAGTGAGTTTCTGTCTAGGAGCATGGAGGAGACAGCCTAGGGAAAGGGGCTGGATTTTAGGGGCCCAGTCTCTCCCATTTTAAGGGGGCTGAGGCATCCTAGGCCTGCCCTGTAATCAGATTACATCTGTGCTGTACTGTATCCTGGAGAAGCAATAAACACCCTCTATTCTACTGGTTGATGGAGTCTGTCTGTGCCATTATGGGGGTGCAGGAGATGGGGAAACCCCAACGCACCATCACACCATGTTTCCACAATCTCCCTATAGCAAAGGAAAGGTACATTCTATTATATTTAGTGGATAACCTTTACGGCATAAATATTTAAAGCAATTTACTCAAATGGAATACCATTTTAAAAATGAGTGGAATTTTAGCTGTCGGGTGGAAACTGATTTCTTTAAAGCAACAGGCTGATTGATTAATCCTAGCTAAACTATACCATTTTTAAGAATTTATTAATACACTTTTTTGGATGAACAGCAGCTATTTAGAATGATTAGAGGGGCAGCTGTATTAGTCTGTATCTGCAAAAACAATGAGAAGGCCTTTCAGGCTTAAAGACTAAAACTTATTGGGCATAGGCTTTCATGGGCATATTAATCTTTAAGGTGCCACAGGACTCCACTTTATTAAGAATTATGAAGTCTTTCTTTGTTTTGATTTTAACTTTATTTCTGATCGGAAAACCACCCTTAATTCTGATAATCTTTGTTTATGTTTTAAGCACAAATCCCACATTTTCAGTTGCTATTTTAATGCTCATTCCTGGATTCTAGATATTAGTTTGTGTCCGCTTCCACTAGCGTCCTAGTGAAGTCAATCAAATCTCTCAGGGCCCCGAAGCAATCAGGTGAGTATAAAACTTGTTCTGTGTAAACATGAGATCGAAGACCAAATACACAGACATGCCCTGCAGTGCCTTTTTACTATTCCAACATGAATCTCTGTTAAGGAAACTAAACACACTAAACTATTGTAAAATCATTTCACTTAATTCAGTGAAAATATGTATTGTTATATGAACCTGATTCTCATTTGCACTTAAATCACTTCACACTTCTTTGGCGTTGAAAAGTGGCCTTAAAACAGTTCTAAATTTCATATGTACTCACTTAAGGTCACTCTACCAGCCAAAGGAGTGTAAAGTGACTTAAGCGTAAATGAGAATCAGGCCAATATTCATTGGTGCATGGCAGTACCATAATGACTCTGTTCCACAAGGCATCTTCTATCTACTTGCTAATTCCAAATTCCATGATAAGTAGTTCCATTTTAGCTCACCTGGAGTTACTTTGCTGGAGCTCATGGGAGGCTTTTGCTTTTCCTTGCCTGATGATTTTTCTATAGCAGGAAACTTTGAATCAGGTCTGTTTGCATAAGACTTGATGGAAGAGCCAGAACCCTCATCTACAGAAGTCTAGAAGGGTAAAGAAAAATACCAATGGCTGAACAACTAACTTCTACTGTCTGAGTGAGAATTTGAGAAATGTTGTACTCTGAAATAAGCAATATTCCAGCAAAATTTCTAGTACTAGCCAGTAACAACAGGAAGACACCATCCATTTTTACGAAGATTCTTCCTTCCCATATCCTTTTATATTCAAAGCCACACAAAGCTGGAGGAACAAAAATCTAAGAGTACTACAAAGTACACACTGAAATAGATATTTCCAGAGAATTCAGTAGCTATGCTTGGATTAAAATGATGGGCGAGTGTGACGGGGTACTGCTTGGAAATATGCTTATGAGTATGATACAACTTGAATATGTTTTATGCAAAATACTTCTTGAAACATTAGAAAAGTTAAAATCTGCTGAATGTGTACATTCAATTTGTGTGCATGTACCATTCCTATAATTTAAGTTAGAAATATGCAGTGTAAAACTGTTTTACTTATCTAGACATATGAATCATTTGCTTAGAGCAGCAGTTCTCAAAGCGGGATGCAGACCTGCTCAGTTAAGCCACTGACGGGCTCTCGCTGCTTAGTTTACTTAAAGTGTCCATAGCCATAAAGCCTCACAGCTCTATTTTTCCATGCAGAGGCATAAACACCTAACTTTATTAAGAAATAAAAGAGCAGATTATTTAGTAGAGGTTCTTGTTAGGGATGTAAGCAACTACTCAATTAGTCATTCCCCCCACCAGCTGTATCACTGCATCACCAGAGGCAGTGAGGGGTGGTGGAGCAGGGGCCGGTTCTGCGAGAGGGAGCCAGCTTAAAAGCCAGTCCCCCCGCAGCACAGTCTCCACGGGAGGGCAGGGAAGGCAGAGAAATAGTGGGGGGACTGGGCATGAGCCAGGAATCAACTGGTCCCAGACGCTACGCCCCTGCTTTTTAAATGTATCAAGTGCCACCAGTCCATTTAAAAGCAGAGTCGTAGTGGGGTTAGCTACCAGGGCCAAGAGCTAAGCCCCTGCAGCTCTGCAGTTTCCCTCCTTATCAACTAATCAAATAGTCGATGGAAATTCCATAGACTACTCGATTAGCTGATTAAATGCAATTTAACAGCCCTAGTTCTTCTAACAAATTATAGAGAAACAGCTCAGGAAGTAATGTAGTGGAGTCAAGAGCAATACATATTAGATATTCAGACCACTACATATGAGGGATGTTAAATGGCATTTAATCAGCTAATCGACAGAAATTCCATCAACTAGTCGATTAGTTGATAATAAGGGGGAAAACTGCAGAGTCGCTGCAACTCTGCCTTTTAAATGTATTAAGAGCCATCAGGCTCTCAAAACCTTTCAAAGGCTAAAGCTTAGCGGGGAGAACCAGGCACAAGCTGGGACAGCTAATTCCCAGCTCACAACCAGTCCCCCTCACTATGCTTGTGCTTTTTAAATGTAGTAAGCCACTCTTAATACATTTTAAAAAACACAAGCATAGTGGAGAGAACCGGGCATGAGCTAGGAATCAGATGATTCCTGGCTTGTGCCTGGTCCACTCCTACACCTCTGCTCCTCCTGCCCCCTGCAGAGATGGTGTTGGGGAGAAATCAACTTTTAAGCCAGCTCCCCCCAGCACCAGTTTCTGTTACTCCCCTTGCTGCCTCTCTGGGGGTATGTCTACACTACAAAGTTAATTCAAACTAACGGCCGTTAGTTTGAATTAACTTTAATAGGCGCTACACACGCAATCTGCTAGCTCGAACTTAATTCGAACTAGCGGAGCGCTTAATTCGAACTAGGTAAACCTCATTCTACGAGGACTAACGCCTAGTTCGAACTAAGGGCTGTGTA